CATCGTAAAGACTCAAATCCAAGCACTGTGGCTCTAGCATAATTCTTTCAACCATTGTCATCTGAAGCCTGAGTGCAGCTGGATGGTCCAAGATGACTTCATGAATATGCCAGACATTTTTCTGGGGCTGTAGGCTCAGGCTCCTTCCTATAGGTGGTCTTTCCAAAAGGTCCTTCAGATTTCTTTGTTTGGCAGCTAGATTTGAAGAATTCCAATTGTTATCCAGAGAATTGTGTTGAGGTGACAATGGCCTCCAAATATGTCACCAGACTGAGTTGTCCCACAGGCTGGAGAAAACACAGACTGACAGACCAAATCAAGGTCCTTGAATTGCATTGTGCAGATAGAGAGTTGAAAACATGCCTTTAATTTTTTTTTTTTTTTTTTTTGTTCCCATTTAGAAGTGAGATCTCTACACTGGTGATCCTTAATCTTGACTGTCAACTTGGTTGGATTAACAAAGGCCTAGGGGATTAGTGAAAAACACCTCTAGGCATTTGTAATGGCATTTTCAGAGACAATTAAATCATGAGAGCTCTGAGTTAATCAATAGATTAATTACTTGATGGATTCAGAAAGTGATAGCATTATTGGAAGGCAGTGGAAGATAGGAAGTGGAGTCTAGTGGGAGGAAGTCACTGGGGGCTCGTCCTCTTGGTTATCACTTGTCCTGGCTCCTTGGTATTCCCCTTTCTCTCTGCTTCCTGTCTCCCAGTAAATGAAGATTGGCCTTTGCTACCTGCTCCTGCTGCCATGATGTTCTCTCTGAGCACATGAAGCCAAACAACTGTAGACCGGACACTCTGAAACCGTGAGCCCACATTAAAACTTGGACTCCTTTGTTTCTTTGTGACGGGTGGGTCAAAGCAAGAAAAGAACTAAAAGAGAACCTTTCCTTTGAATCTGGGCTGGCTTTAGTGGCTTGCTTCCCAGCTAGTAAAACAGATTACGATGTGAGGGGCACTACCTGACTTCCAAAGATAGCGCATCATAGGCCATGAGCCCAGTTCCTTTCAAACTCTCTCACTGAGGGGAAGCCAGCTGCCAGGTAAAAAGTTTGCCATGTTGGAAGGGCTGAATTTCCAGATAGCCATCAGTCAATGTGAGTGAGCCATTTTGGATGTCTGGCCCAGTTGAACGCTCAAATGGCAGCAGCTGCGGTTGACATCTGATTGCAACTAATTTAGAGACTTCAAGAAAGAATTGCCTGAGGAAACCTACCCTAAATTTTGAGCTGCAAAATCATGGGCCAAATAAACCAAGCCACTAAAGTTTTGTTCACTCAGAGAGCAATGATTAATCAGAACAACTGCCTAACTAATGCCTATGTAGTGTTCATGTGGTCCATGATCCTGTGCTGTGCTGGTCTCTGCAGAGGGTGTAATTACGGGGACTAAATAGGGTAGCCAAGGGCAAGCATGTCTGCTCATATCCAGCTGGTCATTACTTGATTGTCTCCAGGATTTATCTTTTTTATTTGAGCAAGAAGAGATTTCATAAGGCCATGATTGGACTACAGTGGGCCTTACCAGTGCTTACTCAGCTTAGGAATACATTTCTATCAATCTGGAGGTAGTATGGGCTTTGCCTTTACTTTTACTGTAATCTCTGCATTGCTTAGGATTAAATCCAGTGCTTTGCATGTGCTAGGCAATCGCTGTACCATACCTGCATTTTCATCCCAAGTGGAAAGGAACGGGTACACTTCTTTTAAACATCTTAGTATTTAAAGTTTACTCATGTTCTCACCACTTCACATGCAAATCTTCTTTTTAATCCAGTTCAACACTTATTCATTTATTTTAGGTGCAACTTACCTTGTAAGTGTCTTGCTTATACATTTTTTTCCTATTATCTTATACTCCAAAGGCAATACAGTAAGTCTCCAAATGAGCAAATGCTTATCAGATCGGGTCTATAGTGTCTCTTTTATCAGCTAAGGCAAATCACTGGCTAAGCCCACAGTTAATATGCAGAAGTACACAAGCCAGTGGACAATAAAAGTTCAATTCATTGGCAGCGACTATCGACAATCTACTGCTTTTATTTTAAAGAAAGGGTCTCATGTTGGCCTTGAACTTGCTATGTAGGTAAGGTTGGCCTAGAATTCCTTGATCTCCTTCTTCCTTCCAAGTGCTGAGAATACAGTTATGTAACATCATGTCCTGCTTACCAATGTACTATTAACAGGCAGTGGCTGATCAGTGTATCAGGCAGGGTTCTGCAGAAAAACAGAACCCATAGTGTGTGTGTGTGTGTGTGTGTGTGTGTGTGTGTGTTTATCCTAACAATGGCCATCTGCATGCTGGAGAGCCTGGGAACCCAGTAGAGGGCACAGTGCTCAGAGATAATAAGCATTGGAGAAACCAGGAATGTTAATTATTCAGGGTTGTCTTCTCAGTGGAGGAAATGAATACCTGTTTTCCCCCCCGGAAGGCTGGGAGTGGGTGCTGTTAGTAACCTGGTGACTTGGCTATCTGTAGGGACAGGTCTCACCTAAATTCCCCAGAATGTTTATCCCAGTCTCTCCCTTCCTAGACCTCTACATTTAGTTTTGTTTTTAGTCAAGGGAACTCATCCTTAGGGGAGATGTTTCATGTGCCTGTGAGAGACCAAAGAATTAAAAATTATTTTTTTGGGTTATTGGATTAAAGTTTAAAGCACAAGCCTGAACAAACGCCAGACATGTCCAGCCACCCTCGGGGAGGAACTAGCCTTACTGAATTCTTTCCACTGGAGATACAGTTGCTAGGAAACTGGCCCAGATCATCCCTTTCCCATAGCAACAGTCAAACAAAGGAAGCCAGACTGTTAATGGTTTGGGGGCCTCCCCACAGCCAATCAGTTTAAAGTGCAACATCCCCTTTTGTGTTTCAACCAATAGGCGCTTGCCAGGCTGGAATCCCCCAGCTTTGGGCACATTGGGAGGGACTGGGACCTTTAAATTACCCTTCTACCCTGAGCTTGGGTCTCTACTCTCAACCACGTGTCTGTGAGGGTGTGGGCCCAAGCTCGAGCTTGTTATTAAAAGTTCCTCATATGTTTTGTAATGGACTCAACTCCTGGTGGCCTTTTGGGGTCTCATGAATCAGGCACAACATCTGCTGATCTCTATACTATCTTGGTCAGGGACCACACCAGATTCTAGGATCTTAAGCTATAGACCCATATTCATGGTAGAGGTCACAAGTACTTTACAAAAGAGTTTTGATGTAGTCACACCTTAAGCTTTATTGTGCACCTGGCATTGAGATAATTGTTAGCAGGAAACTCTTTTGCCAAAATTGTATTATGCTTCAATATGTCTAAAATAAACTGGCCTGATGTGGAACTCCAGAAGTTTGAACCAGCACAAATTCTTTCTTGCCTCTGGCAGTTTATTCCCTGCTGACTGTAGAGCTTGCAGGGACCTCACACAGCACAAGTCTGGTGCTTGGGACTTGGAGGATTCCTGGAGGGTATCTGGTCTTCATTCCAGACTGGAAGGTTGAAAAAGCTGAGGAGTGGTTTCAGTGGAGGACAGTGGTAGTGACAAAGATGGAATTGTTCACCAGTAAGCATTGAGGGCAGTGATAGCTAGCAGAGCTGAGTCCTCTTCCTCTCTGGGACACCTGGCAGAAGTTACCACCCCCTCTAGGGGAGGGTCATTTCCCCTCGGTTAACTCTTGGGGGCATCAGTTTTATCTGTAGGGTTTGTGACAATATAGCTGATTGGGCCCTCTGATATACTTTAAATCAGCTCTCAGTTACTTTTAATAACCAATAATAACCTGTGTAAGTGCATGAAAATAGTTGTTACACTGTTCTATTAAGGGAATGATGACAAAAAAAGGCCTACAGATGCTCCAGGCAGATACCCAAGTACTTTCGGTCTGAGGTTCATAGCATTTGCAGGTTCAAAACCACAGAGAAGGCTGAGCACACTGTCTTACGTGCTCATAGCATATCTGCTACGTACCGGGTTCTCAACTGGCTGCCGCATCGGTTACGATAAAGAAGGGATTTGGATCTTGATTACGCTTGAGTGGATTTCTCGTCTAAGCAGATTTATTTTCTGAGATAGCATGCCTAAGTGTCCTTAGGTTCAGATAAAGCAGTGATCTCCCTTACACAGAGGAGAAAGTTCCATGGAGTAGGTGACACTTGGCCTGGGCCTTGAAGAGATCTAGGATCTGGAATTCTCTCCTCTGAGTGCCACAAACAGGGGAGAAAAATCTCTAGACACCCCTCGAAAAAAGATTTACGACATTCTTGCCCCTGGCTCCAGAGTTAGCAATCTGCAAGTAAGCAGCTGTCATCAGGCCAGAGAAGGATGTTCTCTGCCCCAAACCTTGAAGCTTAAGTCTCAAACCCTCCTCCTGTTGGGACGGGTAGAACCGGCCCTGCCTTCCCCGGGGAGCTGCCAGAGAGGGCGTTTCAGCGCCGCACTGTCTGGCCGCGGTGGGCCCAGGCTCGGCGCAGGGCGCGGCTCTTTGTGCTCAATTCCCACAGGCCTGGACAGGGTGCGGTGACCCCACGAGGCTCTTAGCCGCCCCGCTGCTCCTCCAGGGCCGTCCAAGTTCCAGATTTAGGACGGTGCTGCGGAGAGCTGCCTGCAGCCGCACCATGCCGCCGGCCGCGAGCACCAAACTCCTTATTCATTTATTTCTGCCGTTCCCTGCGGTGCACTCAGCACCGGCGGATGCCATCTGACAGGGTGCGTACCCCTTCCTTCCCCCTCCACGCAAGGCAGTGGGTGGAGACTCTAGGGTAAGCTCCCTCCCAAGCGGCTATGCGCCTGCGTAGCTCCGCCCACACCCCGCCTTCTCCCTATCGCCCCGCCCTGCCATCCCGGTCTCCACCGCTAGGGGTGGCGGCTGCGGCTCCGGCCCGAGAGACTGCGCGGATGCTTTGAGGGCGCCGCAGCCCTGCCGAGTGGGGACAGCGCGCGGCCAGAGGTGGGAAAGCGACCGGCGGCGGAGGGCGGCGCCGGGGGAGGGCGGCGCGCGGTGACTCATCCCTCTGGAAGACCAGACACGCTCGCCGAGCTCGCCCGCGCCGCCGCTCCTCACCCGGGAGGCGCCCGCCCGCACTGCCCGCCCGCTCCGAGCTCCCGGCCCGGCCGCGGCACAGAAAGTTTTCCCGGGCTCGCGGCCTGCGGGAAGCGGAGCGGGCACGGCGGGGAGGCGGTCGCCGCGCGGGCCCGCCGAGTGCATGGTGCGGGGCGTCCGGGCCGCGCGTCAGGAGGAGCTGGGGCGGGGCCGGGCTGCGTCCAGCTCCTGAGCCTCCGTCCAGCGGCGCCCGCAGCCGCCTTCCCTTGGGACTGCCGCGGGGGTCGCGCTCCAGCGCCATGTCCCGGCTGCTGCCGCTGCTGGGGAGCCGGACGGCGCGCAGCCTGAGGCCGGGCCCTGCCGCCGCGCCCCGCCCTCCGTCCTGGTGCGGCTGCGGCCGGGGGCTGCTGGCGCTCGGGGTCCCCGGCGGTCCCCGGCTTTTGGGCACACACCCCAAGAAGGAGCCCATGGAGGCGCTGAACACGGCGCAGGGCGCGCGCGACTTCATCTACAGCCTGCACTCCACCGAGAGGAGCTGCCTGCTCAAGGAGCTGCACCGCTTCGAGTCCATTGCCATCGCCCAAGGTAAGCGGGTGGGGCGCCTCGGAAGACCTAGTTCTTGGACCCCTGTCCCCTCCCCACCCACTGGCCCCGCGTCTGGGGCGTCCGAAAGGGGGAAACTTTCCATTTCCCAAGTGTCCCCAAGGCAGGGAGGACACGTGCGGGTCGTGCCAGGCAGCTAGGGCCAAGCCGGGCTGGTGCCTCCCCAGCCCTGGAATTCAGGAGGTTCAGCCTGAAATGCCAGCTGACTCTGACGGTTGTTTTGGTTTGTCCTGTGCCTCCTCGCTCCAGTCCTCCATTCCCTAAGCCTTCGGTGCCTTCCTGAGACCCTGCACCCGTGCAGGTGCCGTGTCTTGCCTGCGCTAAGAAAGTGCCACGAGCTAGGCGGGCAGGAGGAAACTTTCCTGAAGGTGTGTGCTGTCCCCCAAAGGGGTGTAGCTTTCCCAGGCAGGGATGCTCTAGGTTGTATATTGCTACTCACTTCTGAGCCGCCCAAGGAAATCTTTTCCTGGGAAGTGGAAGGAATGTATCAAGCCAGCAACTGAGTATATACTGGAAGCCTGGAGATTCAGATTGAACTCCAATGTTTGTTTCCTTGGAGTTTGAAAGAATGAAGCGAGGTTTTGGGTGCTTGAGGTTAGGGGATCTGTGGCTTGAAAAATGGAAAGCACGCTTCTACTTAAAATAATTGGGAAAAGATGAAAGGAAAGCTATTTTTAAACAGACGTGTTAAGATACGATATTTTTAAAACAAGTGTGGAATGTGGTAGGTCAGAATTTGAGTGTAGGTGAAAAGGCTAAAAGTTCAGAAGGAGACTTGAAAAGACGCAAAGACCGAAATGGATTCAGTCTTTAAATGTATATTTTTGCTACGTAAATTCTGTCGTATGTACAAAACACAGCTACTATTTTATAGCATTCGGATGTGTTGGAAAGTTTTTCAACAGTTGAAGTTGGTACTGTTTAGCATTATATAAACATCCCATAGGTTCCGAAGAATGGAGCACATTAATTTGTAACGTGGCTCTCAGATGTCTTAAAGTTTGTTTTTGGCCCATGTGTAAGAGGATATTAGCATGGCTTCCCTTTACTACTTTAAGAATCTTAAGTTGTACCCTTTAACTACTTTAAATTTTTTTCCAGTTTAGGAGATTGTGAATCAATATAAGGTAGTGGATAATTTCAGGCATTGATTACCCAAAATGCTTTTTACAGGAAATGCAACATCCCAACACATTCAGTTAGTAAATCACAATATTACAGGAAATCATAAATGAATACCAGCATATTTTTAGTCTATGTGTGTGTTCTATGTGTGGCTTAAAAAGACTCAATTCTGAAAATGTGCCCTTTGAAAACGATTTAGACAGTCAAATCCTAAGTCAATTTTTGTCGCCCAGGCAAGACTATGTACACATCCATTTTCCCTTTTCTTTTAAAGCAGGGTTTTAGAAATTCTACATTGTCAATATGTTGCAAGATTGGAGGGCCCTGTGAATATAATTTTATATCAGTTATTGAAAAGCATGTTCCGCAATACCTGACTTGCTAAATTTTATCTCATGCATTACTGTTTTTGTACACGTTAGCAGTGTATCAGGTAGGAGAGCTACATTTCCTAATGAAGATAGTACTTTAAAATCTATGATGGTTTTCGATATCCTAAGAAGGACCTAAAAATTCAAGTCCACAGAGGTCTTTAGCATCAATAAAGTTTAATGATCTAAGTTATTGGAGGAAGCCATTGGTAATTTAAATGTATTTGTTCAGGAGAAATGGCTAAGTATATGGGAAACAATTTGGTGGCTTAATGCCTCTTGTTTAGAAAAGTAAAGAACTTCAGAATTTGGTCGTCTACTTTTTGATGCTACTGACTAAATCACTTGAGCTAAGCGACGCCTAGAGGAGCTGCCACATTAATTTTTTAGCATGCCCTGGTGCTCACTTAACAATTTCATCTCTAGTACATGTAGTTAAAGAGATAGCTAGCTAGACCTGCTTAGTAAGTTATCTTGTTCATAAGGCAAAAGGATTACTGCATCGGGAATGCATGCCCCACTATTGCTGAGGTCAGTGGAGGGTTTTTTTTTTTTTGTTTTCTTTTTTTTTAAAGTGAAAGCTTCTCATGTTTTTCTTCAGTTAATTTTTCAGTATTTCTTGTTAAACATATTTTAATTATACTTTAATTACTTGTGTGTGCGTGTGCCGCTGCATGCTTGTGTGGCACTGCCACACTGCCAGACGACAGTGTGTGGGAGCTGTCCAGTCTTTCCTTCCAATATACTGTTGGAGGAGATCAAACTCGGGTCCTTAGGCCAGGCTGCAAGTGCCTTACTAGTGAGCCATCTCACCCGTCTTTATAACGTTTTAAACTACCAACTAATGTACTAAATATCTGAGTATCTACTACTACACTTTCTAACGAGAGTAAGTCACTGTGAGGCTGTTTCTTACTGTGGAAAGCCTGGGCGCTCTTGGAAAGCTGCTTTGATCTTCCTGGGAAGCATTCTGGCTTTGATGAAATACTGCAGAAAGAAAAAAAAAATCATCTCTGTTTTGAGATGGCTCATGAGGTCTGCTGAAATTTGTAACTTGGTCCTTATCTTCCTCATGTATCTATCATGTAGGCCTGTGGTATAATTTGTGACAAGATAACACTCCAGAAACGGTTTGTAACAGATGAGGCAGACTTTGTGGGACAGCTCAGCTTATCTTATTACTGAGTTGGGTTATTTGATTTTAAAATTACAGACTGATATCCTTTTCGGTTTGAAGAGAAAGTTTCTGTTGCACTCTCACCTGCTCAACAGTGGATTGGCTGTTAGAAGACTGAGCTGAGAAGCTGGTGTTATTATAGTTGCCTTTTGGCGTTAGCCAAGATTTTTAAAGCACTCTTCTTCCTCATTTTTGCAACTAACATTTCTGTTCAGAAGTTCATAATTATTTTTAAAACCTTTAGAAGTACATTTTGCCTTTGAAACAAGGCAGTAGTCATTGTATTAGTTGATACCTGTTACTATAAAACAAATTGTTTAAAAAACACAGAACACAGAGCAAGTACCTTACAGTTTCTGATGTTCCTGCAGAGCAAGTACCTTACAATTTCTAATGTTCCTGAGTCCTGGAGCCACTTATTTGGGTATTTCTTACTCAGTCTCTCATGATACTGAAGTCAGGCTTTTGGCTTTCTGAGGTCTTGCCTGGGGCTGGAGGATTCATTCCCAGGAGGACTCACTCTCTCACTCACAAGGCTATTGGCTGGCAGTGTCAGTTTTTTGTTTTTGTTTTTTGATATATGGACCTTTCTAGAGGGCTGAGAGCTTTCAAGACAGAATTCCTGGAGAGAGGGAGAGGTAGAGGAGGGAAGATGATGCTCAGGGGAAGGAAGGAGTTCTAGAAGCTAGTTTTTTAGATGCAATCTCTTGTTTGCTGTGGTACCTTGTAGGAGGTTCCTATGCAGGATGTGAATATTGCATCTGAGAATGGGAGCCTTTGCCGTCATGTTGGAGGCTGATTGCCATGCTTAATGAAGGTTTAGTGAACAGTTACTGTGGAGTTATGTAAGACAAGAGCTGGCTCTGGGAGAGATACCATAAGGGATGAGATTTGAAAAAAGCTTCTATGGGAATATTATTGTCAAATATAGTCAAAACTTAAAAAAGAAAACAATTTTATGTAAGGGAAAGAAGATATATCAAGGTGATACTTAGCTGGCAGAGGTGATACCATGATCAAGGAGGTGGTTTTCCTAGGTGAGGCTCATCCATGGCACTCAGCGTGTGCTGACCCCTGTGACTTCCCCAAGTGGGGCAAACTTGACTGTATGGTTTGTGGTAGTGAGGGACTGTGTTCCTGTTTTACTCTTAAAAAAAAAAAAAAAGACGATATTTCTAAGTGACTAGTGCTAGTGCAGTATTTCTGTCAGCAGCAGCAGATTTATTAGCTTTTTCTCCTTGCTTTTTTCCACCCCCTCTGTGTAAACAGTAACTGTGCACTTTTAAAGTTTGTTTTTACTACTTATGTACTCCATATTACTTATATAGTTCTAAGCTGTAATGTCTTCATTCCTTCCTTTCGCGTTTGTTTATTTGAGGTAGGATAAGGCACTCTGTTTGGAGTACTTGGCAAATAGCCTAAAGGGCCTTTGACAAAAATGAAAATCTGACAGCTATTGGGCTAGACATCTGGAGTACTTACACTTAACCAAGTTTTGTCCTGGAGATCGCTTTACTATGGATCTTGTACCTTTAAAAATTCTTTTCTTGTTTTACACAGCCTGTTCCTCAGGATTATCTGAAAAAGAAGCAGTTACACCCATATCTTAGCCTCTGGGAAGGATTGCAATAATCTCAGTTTTCGCTCAAAGATAAAAGCATTTCCTATGCCAATTAGGACACAGGTAAAGACATTTCAGTGTTTTAGTTGAGATAATAAAAGAGGAATAAGGGATGGGTAGCCACAAACTAGCCTTAGCAAGAGGGCAGGAGACACCACGGGTTTACCAGAAGTCAGCCCATGAAAGTTTTACTCACAGTGGGCTACTGACTCAGGCAGATACATATTTCCTCAGTAATGTGACCATGACATTTCAGAATGGCTCTAGCATGTAGGTAATAGGTCAGAGAGTTCCTAGAAAAAGTGTTTCAAGTTGGGTAGAAAAGCTGTAAAACTTTATCAGTTCCCTATTGCTGCGGCAACAAGTTAGCACCCATTCAGTGCCTTAGACAACACAGTTCCTCTTGTGCTGTTTTGGCAACCCAGGGTCCAAAATGAGTCTTAAAGGCACTTGTCAGCAAGGCCATGTCCTTCTGGAGTCTCCAGGGAGAATCTGTTCCTTGCTTCTTCCAGGCTTTAGCATTCCTTGGCTGATGGCCCTATCACTTGAATCTCTGCTTCAATTGTTGCGTTATCTTCTTTCCCCTTGACCTTTTTGCCTCCCCCTTGTTTTAGTTTTAAATTAGCAATAATTATACCCTGGACAAACCTTATTGCATATGTCACTGTACAAAGCTTGTGACAACTTT